AAATTTCGAATACGCACACATGTATTTCGAAATGCTAACCATCATTATATTGTTGATTTCTTTTTTTCCTTTGTTCACTCCTAGGAGGAGCAAGAAAATCATAGGATTAGTGCATGATATCATAGATAGTCATGCCCTAGTTTCATAGCGTCTTAGAGTTAACTAGGTTGCTGACAGACCTGCCATAGTTTTCTCTTTTTAAAATAAATATTTAAGTTTATTAATATTTACCGTTTATTAGAATTTTAAGTTTATTGAATATAACTTTTATGTTGACCGGACTGGGGTTTAAGCCCCAGACCCTTCGATTAAAGGACTGGTGCTGTAAGCACTGCACCAATGGTCAGATTGTTGTTAATTACATTGGTAATATTTTGTTTAGCACAATTTTAATTTCAGGTAGATTATTTTCTCAATTAAACTAATGATTCAAAATCGATGATCTTCATTCAATTTTTATTCAATTTTCATATCATTTAGTGGACACCCACTACATTCAAATATTATTCAGCTCTCAATCTCATATACAATGATATTCATTAAATTATTTTCCTTATGTCAAGTTGTTAAAATTATTTTTCAAATATTATTTTACAATATTTATTACAATTTTTAAATTTAAAACTAACTAAAATTTACCCACAGTGAAATCTCTATATATTGAACATCTTCATTAAGGAACAATTTGCTTGGCATCAGCATTTCTTTTTGCTTAAATTAAGGCTGAATGTTACGAAATTTTTCTTTTAAAGAAAAAATTCATAGACTTTTTCAATTTCGTACCACATAAATGTGTATGAAGATTAGCAATGCTCTCAAAAAATATCCGGGAGCATTTGATATTTCCAAAAACATACATTTTTGATATTTCTATCAGAAATATCTCTCTCTCTCTCTCTATCTATAATAGCCCTCCTCAGTCTATCTACAAAAAATATTATAAAACAAAATTTTCGATACAAAATAATTTTTAAACTTTAGCTTAAGGGTAAATTTGAATCTGTACCTCTAACAAGTTGTCACTATTGTAAAAACAATATTTTCACTTACAGTATTATAAAATTTAAAATATATATACATTCAATACACTTTTTAATTTTACATACATATATACATTATTATCTATACCGTTATAGATATCTTATTTATATTATATGGCATCAAAAATTGCTCTTGTCTACACTTTTAACGTGACTCCTATAAATATGCTAATATTATGATGATGACTATTAATAATATAATTTTTTTCTTCTTTTTATTTCCATTTAGTAACCTTTCTTTGTTGACGTTATTGTTACTGTGTTTCTTCTTGGGTTTGGAAAAATTCCATAATTTTTTATATTTTTCTTCTTTTTAAAGAATTTTAGTTAAAAATTTTAGTCGAGACTAAGGGTAACCTATAATTTGCGTGTAAATTAGAAAAATAGAAAGTAATAAACTATTTATATAAAAAAAAACAACAAAAAAAGAAACAAATAAATTCAGATTTAACCAATGGTTTGTAAAGTAGCACTTTTTCCTAGACAAGTGAAATTGACTTTCCTACAATAAATATCGTTCAGTAATATACCAAATATACCAAATTATTGCATACATTTCAGATCAGACTAAAAAAGACTGAAAACGTAAACTCCAAAACGCAATATTCTTTTGATTTTGCGAAAAATTAATCATGTTTATGAACAAGTAAGTTTAGCAACATTTTTTTACACAAATTGTTGATATTACGCTGTTTTAGATATGTATATGCCGCTGAAAACGCGAGGGTGTGAGAAGGCATACAATTATATTCTTTGATGACATTGCATTGCGGAATTTGAAAATTTTTATGATTTAATATAATAGTCTAAAAATTATATTTTTAGAACTTTGGTGGGTAGTAACTTTCAGAACTTGGCAAATAAACAAAAATTTTCTTCTAATAATAAGGTTTATATAGCAAAGATTCATTCGTATGACAAATTTCAATTTTCTATTTTAAAGAGTGTAGAAGTTTTGTAAATAGACACACATTCAGAGATGGGCGGATGGAAATGGAGGGTCAGATGTAACTAAAAAGCCCTTTTTTCCAATTTTTTTAGAAAAGTAAAAAGTAGCCTTATTTTCTTTAAGGTAATAAATGAAGTGAGAATATATTTAAATAAAAATATTAAAGTTGTTTTGAGAGAGGGAGAATATATTTACTATATTAGGTTAGGTTTATTTTGACAGTTTAATATGTCCCTTTTCTTTGATTCTCTTTAATACCAACATTAGACCTTGTTACAATATTTTAGAAAATATTTCACTTTTTGGCTATATACTTTTTCTGTTGTAAAATATATATGTATATTTAATTACCTGCTATTTGTATATTTAGCAACTCAAACTATAAACTTACCTAATGAACATTTTCTTTTTTCTAGAATATAAAAGTAAATAAAATAGAGGGAGAAAAAAAAAACAAAATCCACTTTCAGTCACTTAAAATTTTTAGAATATTTTACGCGTCCATTTATTTTTTTTTTTTGTTTTTTTTTTTCATTTTATAAATATCGCGAACTTTTCAATAATTATAATAGTATTGTATTAAAAGAATTTTATTTTAAAATGCTATACTATTTCTTATGATACAACTTGATTTTACGATAAATATTATAATTTTTTGTTGCGGACACGAATATTGCGTGTTAATGGATTGTTCTCTTCATTATTATTTTAATTCCATTTACTCGTAATTTAATTTGAATTAATTTCTGAATACACTGTATATACATAGATTCATGGGTTTGAATATTGCCTAAATTTACATTTTAAATGATTGTTAGAAATTATTATTGTCAGAAAGGGTTAAAATTTTCATTATGAATAATATATAAGGATAAAAATTTAAGAGCACTAGAAAAATGTAGGGGGTTATTATTAAATATCTGAGAAAATTAAAGAATAATTTGTAAAAAAATTGTTGTACTTATTATAGAAATAATAATAATGAATATTAAATTAGTTTGCGGCGAAACTGTGGGTTGCGAAAAAGTAAATTATTTCGCAATCACAGGAATTACAAATACAAAATATTTTGTTAATCATATAATGTGTAGGTACTCGTATTTGTATAATAAAGATGAAATCAAGACATAAGAATATTATTTTCGATGCTAATTGACTGAGTATTATAAACCATGATTATTACAGATGTTAAAAGATCATGTATTCTTATACATTTTATACAAGTTATATAAAATATTTCTATAATTTTAAAACCAAAATAATAAATAAGCAAATGTTTTTTAACTGTTACAGTTAAAAAAATTATTTAATTTAAATAAATTGAGAACTAAATAAATTGTTTATTAGTTTGCTATATATAAGTTTGCAATTTTATAAAAATACATGAATTGGAGGATGTTGAAATTTTGTATATCGTCATAATTGAGAGTATGATAAAAGATTCACCATATGAATATGAAATTATAATTCTAGCTTCAGTTCACATCCGCATTTTATTTTTAAGGATTATTTTAATTTTATAACATTATACAAATATAAAGGTATTAACACAATTAATTAATTTAATTATATTAAATCATCTTTCACACCTACGCTACGGCTCTATCATCAAACGAAAGCTCTTTTGTTTATATAAATTTTAATAATCCATATAAAAAATATGAAAATTAACGAAAACTTAAAATCTCTGAATCAGAATTAATAAAAATTTGCTTGATATTGCTACTTGTGATTAAATACAGAATGTTACATGAATATGATTATGATTAAATTCTAATGTAATCTTAAGAATTGCATTAGAAATTGCACTGCTTCTGCAATTGTTGTAAAAATTAAACCTTTAAATTATTTAATTTTTTAATTTAAAGATAAAATGCGTTTTATTTGTGACAATTTATTGCGTTTTGAATTTGAAATATTATAGTTTTAAATTACGAAAAAGTTTTAAGCATTAATTTACTATATTACTCGTATATGGGATAATAGATTGTGTTGTCAGCCTGTTCAAGTGTTGTGCCATAATATATTGTATTAAGGATTTAAATTAATTTAATATTTTATTTTTTGAATATAAGCATGTTATGTCCCCTAACCACATTATCCTTAACAATACTTTTTTTTTTAAATTATTTGCCAACACAATACAAGTTTAAGGTTGATTTATTTGAAACTTCATCGCTCATGTTCCAGTGAACATGAAAATATGAAACTCGGAATAAATGTCATAGAATCTCCCTTTATTTGAACTGATTTACATATTGGTGCCAGAGAATTTGAGTTAGCTTAATATTCATGATAATTTTATAGTAACCTATTAAAACTATATAAAGACCATTAAGATGACAAGATTATTTTAATTTTTTATATCTAAAAACTTTGTTGCCAAAAATTTTGTGAAAAAAAATTTTTGAATTTCGTTCTATTATTAGCTGTTATTAAAATTATATTAAATATATATATATATATATATATACATATATACATATATATACATATGCATATGTGTGGTGCATTTATGAATGAATTTAATAAAAGTGTATGTTTATTTAAGAATGAAATTGAAATTTGAATTGAATAATTGTTAAAAATGTTTTATAGAATAATTATGAATTGAATTTTATTTTTTTAATTTATTAAATTTCACAGTTTTATTATATTTCTAACTAAATTCCTGTTTTTGCTTTTATTTTCCTTTACTGGCTGTATAATTTTTTCAAATTATAATATCAATTCCCCACTCAATTAAACAACAAATTCGTCTATCGATTCATTTAATATTATCGATTTATTGTCAATATTTTCAACATGGGAAAAATTGCAATAACCAAAATTGAAAAAAAATGGAAAAATATGGATTAAAAACTGCGATATGGAAAATTAAATAATTTAAAAAATTATTGATTTATTGTACTTATTTTTGCCGCAATTGCATTATTGCATCTCATAAAATGATAATTATAATTGATAACAAACAATGATAATAACATTATTAATTAACATAAATAAAATAGGAGCAAGTCATCAACCAATTAGTCGCAAAGAAAGTATTGTTAATTTTTCTGAATTATTACCAATTGGTATTGGTACAAATGCTACAAGTCCACCATCAGATGATGATAATAAAACAATATTACCAAAATGGAAAGGATCCGGCCAAATTTTAACAAATCGTAAACAATCAATATCAATATATAATAATAGTTTAAGAGCTGCGTCATCAGTATCAAATGTTAGTAAAATAAATACAACATTATTAGGTAGTAGCGGTATTACCGGTTCAAATCAATTAACATCAATTGGTGCAATAACAGCATCAACAACATCATTATTACGTAAAATGTCAGTATCGGAAAGAAAAATGTCACAAATTGATTTAAAAATGTTACCAATTGAACGTAAATTATCTACAGTTGAACGTAAAATGTCAACATCTGAACGTAAACTATCGACATGTGAACGTAAAATGTCAACAACTGAACGTAAAATGTCAATAGCGATTGATCGTAAATTATTTAATCAACAATCAAATAGTGGAAGTGGTGGTAGCGTTGGCGGTAGTATTATAAGTGGTGGTGGTGGTAGCAGTAGTACCAGCAGTAATAATTATATTATTGGTAGTAGTAGCAATATTATAAATGAACGTAAAATGTCAACATATGATCGTAAATTATCAGTATCAGAACGTAAATTATCTGTTGCTGATCGTAAAATGTCAACATCCGAAAGAAAAATGTCAACAATTGCAATGGAACGTACTGATCGTGATATACGTAAAATGTCAACAATTGATGCTATAACATTAAATATTAAATTAGGGCCATATCAATTACATCCAAAAGGTTATAGATTAACTGCTGGTCGTTATGGTGAATTAAAATTGGGTTTATTAAAAATTAAAGGAACTATTGAATTAGAGGTAAGTGAGAGTAAACAATATAATTTATTGCAAAATTAAAAAATATCATTCAAGTTATAAATGCACGAACTTTATTACAATTTTTCAAATTAAGTCCTTCGAAATTCTGTATAGATTCCGAAGATATGCGAGATTAGAAATTAACTAAATCTTGGCTTTGTATGTCTTGATTGCCACTTAAAAAAATGAAAATAAATAAAAAATTTCACTAAGAAATTAAGTTTTTTTTTAACTTGGAGACTTTTGACAAATTTTAACAAAAATTTTAGCCTATAACTCAGTTGATAGAGCGTCCGCCAAGGTCATTAGTTCGAGACCAGATCGGGGAGAAAAATTTTTGTAATTTTTCTGCCTCAACCCGTACCTTTGATTACATCATCCATCTTTTATGAAGGGAATTCCATTAGTTATTTTTATAAAAATTGTACCCATTTTATTTATCTATTAATTGTTTTTTAATGTAATTATATAATGTAGTCCTCATTATGAAATCATCCTGTATATAAGTTTCCAACTTAAAAAAAATCTTAGAAAATGCACTTTATAAAAAAAGAAATTAATTTTTAATTTAATTTAAAAAATTTCCTATTATAAGAAAAATTTTTTTTATTTTTTCGATTTTTCTCTTGATTTTCTTTTTGTTTCTGATTTAGTGAGGCAGGAATACAATATTTTTTTAATGTGTCCTTGCAAAAATTCTGGACAAATTGGTTTTCAACTTTTTTTTTTGTTTTGCAATTTCATAGCTTTTTCAAATATGTTATTATATTTATTACATAATACAATGACTGTCGAAAATGTTCTAAATTTAGAAAATTAATTTAAAATTAGAATAAATATTTTTTGAAGACTTTTTTGTTTCTTTTAAAAAAGAAGAAGAATTCCGATATAAAATCATTGCTCAAAAATTAAGTTTTTCAATTATTCTTATTCAATCAACTTTGAAAAAAATTCTTTTGATTCTTAGAAATCTTTTTTACTTTTCTTTTTGTTTTTCAAATTGAAAAATCCTTGAAATTTCACAGTACAATTGAGTTGATTTTTAAAAGAAATTTTCATTCAATTATTTTAGAATTTTTGGTTTTTGTTTTTTTTTTTTTTTTATGTTTTATACAACATTTTCTTCATCAAACCATAAGGTTTTGAATAAAATGTATGGAAAAATGTAAAGTAATGACTTTTTTTTTTGCAACTAACATCGAAATGACCATAAGAAAAAAAAAATATTTTCTCTTTCTTATCAAAGACTATAAAATAATGAAAAATGTTTATTACAATATACAATTTATGTATGTATGTATAAATGTGTAACATTCTTCCTAGTTTTATATAAATTTATGGAACGGAAATCCCCTTCACATTTAATAAAATTTATATGTTTTTCCTTTTTCTATTTATAAAAAACATTTTTTACTGTTTATATTTTCTATTTTTCTTTCCGTCTCCAATGAATTTACCAACCAAAAAAAAAAAAAAAGTTATTCTTAATTTATAACTTTGACCAGGTATTATGATGAATTCAAAATAACAAAATAGATAAAGTATATATTTTCATATATACATACACACATACGTACTCTAAAATTATATATAACACACTTGGTTTGATATTAACTCATTTCCATTTGGTACCTTTTAAAAATTTATATATATTAAATTTAAATTCAAAGTTTCTATACGTACTTTAAGTTCAAAAGGTTTTTCGTTTCAAAAAGGAAAAATAAATTTTACTATATTTTTTTTTTATTATGAAAAAAGAGTTTTAAAACACATTCCAAAATAAATTTTTAAATTCTTTAAACTCTTAAATACCAGTGCTTTTGAAACATCTCAGTTCTACAATACAACTTTAAAAATTAACAATTTTCAACTATCGCGTATTAAATATCGATTTTCAACGGCATCGAGAAAGAAGTCTAGTATTAATGAAGAATACGCCTGAGCACCGATTTGTTAAATATGAATTTTAAAATTTCTAGTCCCTAATGAAACCAATACTTGTTCTACTTTTTTTAGTCTAATTAATTAAGAAATTTGCAAAGTTTCTGTTCCAGCAAAAGTAAAAATACTAATGATCTAAGCATAAAATAAAAGCAAAAACAAAAGTTGTTAATGCAATTGGGCCTGGTATTTGTTACAAAATTTCGATTGTCTTATGTCTGTCATAATTTATAAATGAAAGTAAAATATTCGAATAATATGAAAGAAAATTTTATGAAAAATTCAATTACTAATTATGTTTAAGTTTTAACTTAAAATTTTAAAAGAAACCTTGCTCGAGTAGCTTCAAATGTAATAAGAAAAATTTTGCTATCAGTAGATCTAATTTTTAATACATCATATTATATAGTATGTAGTTACTTATTAAAGATAAATTGAGAATATTTTCTCCCTGTTTTTTTTTTTTAAATATAAAGTTAAATCATATTTTTATCTATCTAGGGTTTTTGTTTCATAACGTATATAATATATATGTATAAGTTAGAACACTTATATTGCTCCTGTGCAATTTTATTTTTTTCCCTCTTGTTCTGTTTTTTAAAGAACCTTCTCTATCTTTGATATTATTTTGCTATATATGTGTGTATATACATGTGCAGAGTTATTTTATTTTTTTTTGTTATTCTTCTTTTTCTCAATATTTTATTACCTTATACTTAGTATTTTATTATTCAGGAGACGTGAAATTTATATATTTTCCAATTATATTTAACAACTGATCCTGATAAAGTTTTTGCATTTTTTTCCCCTTATATTTCTTCTTCTTATTTTACATTCTTTGACAAATAAGTTTTGAGAGTACTTTATAATAATAAAAAAAAAACATGATGTTTTAATGTGGGTTACATTCGAAATAAAAGTAGAAGTGAATTTTTTTTTATTTATTATTTATAGTTTTCTACTTTAACAATCAATACATAAAAAATAACTATGGTACTTTTTTTTAATAATATCGTAAATTTTTTACGTCTTACATTCTCGTTTTCTTCACCATAGAAGTTTACATTTCTTTTTTGCATTGCAAATTTGCAACAAGTAAAAATAATAAAACAAATCTTAATAAAAAAATCTGATGTGGTCAGCACATAACCGACCGCATTGTGTATTGTCTAGTTAAATGAAAGTGTTACAGAATATTATAAAAATGTCTGTTAAATACTTCTTTCCAATTTTTAGGACATTAGTAAGCTTATAGTTAACATACTTAGAAAAATGTAAATTTGGCTCTTAGTAGAGTTTCGCTTTGTGCTACCCGAATTCCCTGAAATGCTCGCCAGTTAGTTTCGGCAACAACCAGAACTCAAATATCAAATTTCAAGAAATTCCATCAATTTGTTCTGTAGATATGGTGAAAAATGTAAAATCGGCCCGCAAATCAGTTCTCGAGCCCTGATCTTTCCAAAAAAGTTATATGTTCATTGCTTTAATATGAGGAGTTCATATATTAAATTTCAATGAAATCGGTTGATTATTTCTCTTTATATACACAAAAGTGTATGTTTGGCCCGTAGTAAACGTCCAGTTGCCGATGCCTGATCTTTCGAAAAAATTTACATGTTCATTGTTTTAATACGGGGAATTTATATATTAAATTTCAATGAAATCGGTTGATTATTTCTCTTTATATACACAAAAATGTGTATTTGGCCCGTAGTAAACGTTTAGTTGCCGATGCCTGATTTCTTCCAATACATACGAATTTTTGCGGATAGTCGACCTGATCTTATATATAAAATTTCAAGTAAATCGGTTGAATACTTTCTTCAAAATGTTCCAAAATGTAAAACAGGCCCGCTAAAAAGTGCAGTTCCCGAGGCCTGATATATACCAAAAGTTGATCGATCCGTGCCATGGTGGAAACAAACTTACATATAAAATTTCATCAAAATCGGTTCAGCCGAACTTGAGATACACGCGTGCACACACAGACCGATAGACGGACAGACCGACAGGTTGCTAAAAATAGTTTATTTACACTTCCCTACTATGGAGAAGTACGTTCCCACCGAAAACTCGATATGCAAAATTTGTTGCCATCACATAACCTACCTATTGTTTACACAATACGGTCGGTAAAAACGGTTTATTATTCTGTAACCACGATAAAAAGAAAGATTTTAGTGTTTTTTTTTTCATTTTAGAACCACATTTTCCTTATTTTAGAGGTACGGATGTAAGATTTTAATTTAAAGATCTTCCATAAGATAATTGAAATTACATAAAAGCAAAAAGAGTCCAAATATTATAGCTTCGGCTATTTTGAAATATTAGCTTAAAAAGCAGTACTCTAGTAATTATATGTACAAATATTTTAATTTGGGAAAAATATCACTATTTAACAAAATAAATATTGTATAATGCATATTTTTGGAAAATCTTATTACATACTCGTATTAATCTATAATAAGGTTTTGCAAAAAATATTTAAAAAAATCAAGAATTGTATTTAAAAACAAATAAAAACTTTTCAGTCAGTATAAACCGACTAAATTATGCCCTGCACTTTAACAATCTGACTCTAATAATTTGTTTTTGAAATGTCTTAGTTTTCGCTGTGGTAGACTAATTACAATAAGTTAATTAATTATTTACAATTCTTTATCATAAGAATTAAAAATAAGCATGTATGAAATTACATACAGCCCATTTATATGTAGCTTGTTTGAAAGACAAAATTTTATGTACTGCGCATTTGATCTGTAATTAAACTCAAAAGTGTCAATAATTAAGGATTTAGGTCTAAATTTCAGTAATTAAGGAGTTTGGAGATTTTACTTGATCGGGAAAAGCACTAAATTTATTTTTACCGACCGTATTGTGTAAACAATAGGTAGGTTATGTGATGGCAACAAATTTTGCATATCGAGTTTTCGGTGGGAACGTACTTCTCCATAGTAGGGAAGTGTAAATAAACTATTTTTAGCAACCTGTCGGTCTGTCCGTCTATCGGTCTGTGTGTGCACGCGTGTATCTCAAGTTCGGCTCAACCGATTTTGATGAAATTTTATATGTAAGTTTGTTTCCACCATGGCACGGATCGATCAACTTTTGGTATATATCAGGCCTCGGGAACTGCACTTTTTAGCGGGCCTGTTTTACATTTTTGAACATTTTGAAGAAAATATTCAGCCGATTTACTTGAAATTTTATATATAAGCTCAACTCGACCGTCCGCAAAAATTCGTATGTTTTGGAAGAAATCAGGCATCGGCAACTAGACGTTTACTACGGGCCAAATATACATTTTTATGTATATAAAGAGAAATAATCAACCGATTTCATTGAAATTTAATATATGAACTCCTCGTATTAAAACAATGAACATATAAATTTTTTGGAAAGATCAGGGCTCGAGAACTGATTTGCGGGCCGATTTTACATTTTTCACCATATCCACAGAACAAATTGATGGAATTTCTTGAAATTGATATTTGAGTTCTTGTTGTTACCGAAACTAACTGGCGAGCATTTCAGGGAATTCGGGTAGCACAAAGCGAAACTCTACTAAGAGCCAAATTTACATTTTTCTAAGTATGTTAACTATAAGCTTACTAATGTCCTAAAAATTTGAAAGAAGTATTTAACAGACATTTTTATAATATTCTGTAACACTTTCATTTAACTAGATAATACACAATGCGGTCGGTTATGTGCTGACCACATCAGATTTTTTATTCCTATAAAAGCATAACTTTAAAAATGAAATTTCCATGTAAATTCTGTAGCTTAAAATATTCTATCCGTACATTTTCTTGCGTTTTATAACATACATACTCGTACATAAAATAACCTTGAACTAACTTACTCTATCGGTTCAAATTAATTTTATCGAACAAACAATTTTTCTTTTATTGTATGATAAAAATTAATTTTTAAGACAGTCGAGAATAATTATTAGTTTTTATATTAATTTAGGGATTAAATGGCAAACAATTTTGTTAAATAAATTTTAACAAAATTGTTTTATTAGCAGTTTCATAAAAGGCATTTACACGGACGGTAAATTCCAATATAAAAAAATGTTAACACTCCGTTTATTGTTGTACAAAATAGTAAAAATGAATTTTATATAATTCATATATTTCATTACGCTAAAATATATCAATTATATAAAACAGTGTCCCTATTAGAGAACTCATCGAAACTGTACACAACTAAAAGTTTCCAAAACATAACATTTTTTGAAATTATATTGCAGTTTTTCTAAAAAATTTACATAAACAAAACCAAATTCTCCCACAATAACAGCCCTGATCCTGTATATTTTTCAGTAATTATTGCAAATTACTTTCTATAAGATTGCCAAAAGAAATAACTTGTGAACTAGATGTAATATAATACTTGATGTAATTTTAAGTTTTCCTATTCTCTACCAAAAAAATTACGATTTATTTATAGCTTTTTGATATATCTAATTTTGAATAAATGAAAAGCCTTTTATAAATGAAAAAATGTTAAATTTATGTTTTCACTGTTTGTTTTTTATTGATTTTATAAATCGTGAATGTAAAAATTTTCTTAAAAATTGAAATATTTGTAGAATTATTTCTAAAATTTATAGTGCGTTTATTAGAGATTATAAATCAAAATTTTTATATCGAAATAATCAATTTTTTCTTTACTCTAACTTTGTGATCACAAATTTTTTATATATCAATAAATATGATAAAAAATGAATAAAGGAAGTAATAAATTGTGGAAAAATATTAAAGGAAATAATTGTGAACATTTGTTGTTGCTAGGTAATTTAAAAAATTTGTCACGATATTTATGTTCTATATATTAACCTTTTAAATTTACAATATATACAATGGAATTGATATTTTTTATAACTTGATGTTGTACTATATAAAAAAACTATATAAAAAAATAAAATGTTGCTGTTGTTGCTGTAAATTATGAAAATCTAACGAAAGCAAAATGAATTTTAATATAGTTCGATTTTCTCTTCAAAGTTGAAATAAATTAAGATAATAATATAAAATCTCGGAATCAATTTTAGACAAATTTAAATATAATTTAAAATATGCTATCAATATTCAATAAATCCATAGTAATGGAAGAGATTATATAATGATAATGAAAAATATCACTTACCAAATATTGTATGTTTAATACGTTCATGAATAAATTTCTCTTTCTTTAGTTCATTTTAGAAAATATTATCATCTATTTCATCTAGTGCACGTACGATGTCCCTAAAATTATAATACCTTTATTATTTTTATGACAATTAGACTATATTGACAATAAGACTAAATATAATATTATGAAATTGAATATAAACTTCAAGTTACTAAGAAGCTTACTGCAAATTGTATTTACCTGAATACATACATAAATCACAATTAAACAATTATTATATGAAATATTGAAAAAGTATTTTTTATAAACAATTGATATTGAAAAAACTAAATAAATTAAAATTTCTCTAAACTTACTTTTTAACAATATTAGAAGTTTTAAATAGTAACAAGCTAAATATTTTTTTTTTGTTTTTAGGTAATTGCTGCTAAAAATATAGTTCCAATTGATAGTGAAACTGCACCTGATACATATGTTAAATGTTATGTTAAAGATGGCGATCGATTACGGCATAAGAAAAAAACTCGAATAATACGTCATTCATCTGAACCGATTTACAAGCAAACATTAAAATATCAGGTAATTTATTCATTTACCACTTTATATAACAATTTCCATTGCACCATAAAATATATTACATATACATACATCCATTATAAATTCTAATTATTTTATTTATTAATTTTTATAGAGTTCTGATGTTTTTGGTCGTAATCTTGTTATAACTGTATGGCAACGTTGTGTTGGCTTTGAACATAATAAAGGTTTAGGTGGTGCTGAATTAAATTTAGATAAAATTGTATTGGCACAACATATTAGCGGTTGGTACCCATTATTTCCAATGCATTCATTTGGTGGTTCGGATTCTGATAATTCTCCTTGACCGAGTTGTTCTACTATTACAAATACTGCAAATGCTTTATTTGCTGCTGCAACAAATAATGAAATTTCAACAAAATTTATTAAATTTACAAATACAAATAGTAATAACAATAATAATAGTAGTAACGGTGGAATTAATAGTATTATTAATGCTACTACACAAGCTGCAAGTGTTAAAATTGATAAAATTAAAAAAATTCCCTTATTAATAATAAAAAATAATTTTGGTACCGATATTGGTAGTAGTATACGTTGTAAAATTATTCCAACCAAATTATAAATTATTATATTTATTTAAGAAAATAAAAAATTATTTTTAATAATTTATATAAATTTTTTTTGTGAGAGCACAAAAAAAAAAATGTCCAAAAATTATTAAAAAATATAACATATATTTTTAGATTTAATTAATAAGAGAAGAAAAAAAGTAACATATATAACATGAAAAATTAAAAACAGGTGTTTATTTTAGTAAAAAAAATTTAAAAACAAATTATTATTAAATTGTAAAAAAATAAAAATTCTATCATGTTTAAAAAATTTTAAACAAAATTTGAAATTATGAGAAGAGCGCTATAAAATTTAATAAAAAAAAATAAAACACATATTATTTTTAAATACAATGCAATATATAGGAATTGCAAATGATAATGAAAACAAGAAATTCCTAATAAATAACTAACGCATACACAATGAATACATTAATATAGCTAAAATTTATAAATTTCAAATTAATAAATCATCATAGTACAATAGACTACTAACTCAATATTATATATGCATATATTTATTACATTCAACAATATAATATGAAAAAATTTTACAAAAACCATAACAATGAATACAATGAATATTCTATTGTGTATTAATTACATACTTATAACATTTAATTACATACATACATATTTTATGTACATAAAATACTATACTGATTATTATATTCACAAGAACAAAACTATATTTATAAAAATGTTACTATTAATTATTTTAAAATGTATATTTACACGTACAATACATACAGTTAAATTATGTATTATAATAATCATAAAGTGGAGCAGCAGTACAATCCTATACACGGATAGGTTTGAAAAATGTATCACCTGTAAATTATTTTATACTTAATAATTTATATTTATATAAATACACTTTATCCTTAACAAGCAGTTTTAATTTCTTTGAAATAATCAGATTATCTTTTTAAGCAACAGTACTTTGAACAAAACAGTAAAATATATTTTTTTTATTATTCTTCTCCAGAAGAAAATCAGCTTTGATAAAGTGCGTATATAGCGCACGAAATATATTAGCGAAAAATAAAAGTATTTTCTTCCGAATAAAAGGAAGTTTTCTTTTCACACCAATAATAAAAAATTATTAAGAATAGATAAAATTTAAATCAATTTAAATATTTACCAAAATTTCAAGTTATTCTGTTAATTATTGCATTTTACGAGTCAATACAAAACTTCAGAAAAGAATTTTTCATTTAATTTACAAAACACTCTTTTGAAAATCTTGTATTTTTCTTGCTAATCTTTAATCTTTGGTATAAAAGAATGTTAACTTTGGTAACTATAGAATAAGGGAATTTTCAAAAATTCAGCGTTGACTTAGGTCCTAATATAAAGCATGTTCAATAAAGCAAAACTACAAAATTTTAAATCTTTACTACAAAAGAAGCATGTTCGAAAATCGTAGTATACTTTAAGTTCTAAAGCATTTTGAAAGATTAGAAAAATAGAAAAACACATAGAAAAATGTAAGATATTAAAAATTTGGAAAAGTAAACTAGTTAGTTCCTAATAGATCTGTTATGATGCAAAAAAAGGTTTTTAAGATTTTAAGCTTTGAATTGAAAATTCCCTTATTCAATAATATATTTAATATGTTTTACTAAAACTTTAGTATTAAAATTTCGAATTCAAAAATATTATTTTCATTAAAAAATTTATTAAGATTTTTTGATGTTTTATAATTTCTTCTTGCCCTGTGTTCTGCATAAAGTATATTTTAAGAATTTATGTATGAAGTTTAATTAGGGGCCAGTTGAATCCTTAGTTAATTTATCCAATTTTTAAATTCTACCTAATTTTACATGTCAGAAAAGTCGTAGAGGAATGTTAAATGTCTAACCGAATTGTACTATAATCATAGCCGTTTTATTAAAATAATACATTTTTTAACTGTTATAGAAAAAAAAAAAAAACAATTATATTTGAAGGTGAAAAAACTTTTATCAATTTAATTTATGGCTTTAAAATTAAATCATTTTAAAAAATTTTAAATTAAATAAAAACAAATATTATATAGTACCAGATATTTTTTTTAATATTAAATAAAATTCTATTATTAAATTGTTTAAAAAGGAAATGTAAGAAGGAAAATAAAAATGAAAGTTACAAACAAAGAAAATTCATGAAGAAATAAATTCAATCATAGGTGATAATTATTTTTTAAGAAATTCATTTGATTATTGTATATATGTATATATATATATATATATTTACATTTGTACAACATATATATATATTTGTTCATTATAATATATTTAGAAAAATGTAAAATTAATTTTAAATTTTTATTTATTTCAGATGTTTTAAAAAAACATCTTGTATTTATTAAATAATAAAAAAAGAAAAATACAAAAAAAAATTTGAAAATATTTAAAAAAAAAACAACTAAAAATGGTAAAAAAATTTTTTAAAAACCCCAATATTATTATTAACTTAATTAAATTATATATAAATATTGAATTAATAATTAGTTCAAAGATTTGAAAAGAAATAACGATTCATCACTATATTTCATAATGTTACAAATAATAAAATGGAAACAAAATTGTTAAAAAAACAATATTAAAAAAATCGTCATTTTTTTTTTAATTTACAAAATTTAATATTTATATTAGTCTATTAGTTACAAAAACAAAAAGGAATTGTAATATTAAATTTTAATTAATTATAAACTATATACATACATATTTTATAAAAAATAACTACAAATTTTACATATATAAAAAAAAAAATAAAAATTAAAAAGTTTTTCATCATCCTTTTATTATATATATTAAATATAATTTATTTTTTCTAATTAATTTAAGCTAATCTTTTAGCTTAAATTAATAGAAAATTAAGCTAATCTTTTTTAGTTTAAAATTCAAAACTTTACAATTATTTACGCTATTTTTTAAATAATTTAAAATTTACTAAAATTATTTAAAACTCTTAATAATTTGGAAACTTATGGTTTTAATGGTAATATTTAAATAATGGGATGAATCAAACAAAATGTTGTACACGATTACAGCGGCGCTTTCATTTATATGCGGGGTGCTCTGAAAGTTCTACAATAGAACAGTATGCAAAAACTTCAGCTAAGTTTTAATGTTTACGCAGTATTTCTAAATATAAAAACTTAAATGCCAAAATTCAATAAATGATATTGTTATGATTAAAATTTTAAAAATAAAAAAAAAAACCCATGCGGCTGCGAAAAAATTCATACAAAATGTCTGCGCTACATTTCTGATATTTCTTTATTATACATTGAATTTTTGAACCCAATTTGTTACAGCAAGAAATTACCGAACAATCTACATATATTTTCAGCGTGTGCAGTGTACAATTTACAAACGAGCTAATGAAGAGTTAGAATTACTCTAGAACTGATTTAACGAAAACCCCTTAGCTTTTAAATTGAAAAAAAAATTGAAATATTTCCAAAACAATATTTGTTTTTTTTTTACTGTTTTAACTGCAAAAATAAATTTAAAGAAGATTTTAAGTTTCGAATAAAAGTTGATGAACCAAGACTTTATATTAATAGTATTTGATAATTACTTATAATTACATCACAATAACAGAAATAAGTCTAAATTATGTATTAATATTTTAATTTAAAAAATTATTTTCAATTTAATTCATATATTTAAGCTTATTTATTAAATTTAAACGTCCAATACATAGGTATGTGAGAAATTTTAAGAAGTAATAAATTAATTATTAGAAGTAAATTTTATGTACTGTAAAAGAAAATTCAATTTTTGTATATTTGATGATATACATTTTTTTTTTAATTATATTAAAGAATAAGCATAAATTATATTGTATAAATTATAAATATTTTCTGTATAAATATTTATATTAAACTTTAATTTTACTAAATAAATTTATTAAACAACATTTCATCAGAATCAGTGAATTAATTTTTTTTTTTTGTAAATCAAGATTTCTTACTTAATTGATTTAAATACAAAAATTTATTTTGTTGCATTCAATGACAGTTCAATGTACTTAATCCCTAAATAATTCTGAACACAATTATTTTATTTATAAATCAATTCGTTATTACTTATTTTAAAAAGAAATATTTAAGCGTTATATGAAAAGGTGGTAATATGACCTCCTGCCCCCATTCGTTTCCTTGAAAAAAAAATCTACAAAAAAAAATTCTATATGAAAATGTTGTTAATAAAAAAATAATTTTATTATTGCGATTTCATTAATTAATTTTTTTATAATAAAAACTATAAATAAATAAATTAATAAAAAATTCCGTTCATAATATTTTTAATACAAAGATTAATAGAACATATCATTTGGTCTAAGACTGGATATATACATACTTATAAATTTAAATTAAATAAAAATATATACGTATATAAATTTACAAATTTAAAATAATTTTTAATATATTAATAATCAAATATTAAGTTCAATTTTAAATTATTATATGAGATGAAAAACTTTTTAATAAAAAAAAAAATATTTGTGAATAATAAATACCCTAAATATGTTAAACTAATAAAAATGGTGTCCTATTTTAGTTTAATATAATACATCAGTATTACTATTACAGTATTAACTTAATTTTCTGAATCAATTAATATTACTAATAATTGTTCTATCACATCTTATTACTAAAAAAAATAATTTAATATTATCGTAAATTGTATAATAGGAAAATAAAATTATTAAAAATTAATACGGCACCATTTTTGTATATTTCTAGGCTTATTTTAGTTTTATTAATAATTAAATTTTTTTTA